AATTGGGTTACAAAAAACTGTGTATTATAAAACAAGAAGTGATAGTCTCAAATCATGGATTTATATATGTGTATGGAGATTTTCCGTTACCCAGGTCATTGTTGTCCCAAAGGCACTTTTTCTGAAGAGTTGAAGAAGCATCTTGGATGAGGATCAAAATGTCTTCAAAGAAAAACTAGAAAGTCCAATTGCCTCTTGAAAAGGTCCCTGGATTGTTAAGCAGACAGATCAAAGAAGCTGTCTTTTGAGGCAGGATAGCCAGTTCTTTTCCATGTGCAGAATGGAATTTTAGTGCCTGATCTGAGCTTCTTTTCTCCAGCCCACTGCAAGAGTTGCCCTCACCTCCATGTATAGACAGGAACCCTGTCATTTCTCCAGCCCTTCATAGAAATCTCTCCCCCCTCCCCTCCCAATCAGTCTCACATATTAAGGGAACATCTTCCAGTAGTGGTAACAATTTGCAACTTTTCCTGCCAACTTCTCCATCTCCTTTCTGCACAAGCCAACAGGGAACCGCCTGAAATGCAGTCATATGGTAATTGGTGGCACAGCAGCAGTTGTAACTTTGAGGACAGGGTTAATATTATGGTTCCAAGTAACCCTGACAGACAGATCATAAATATCCTTTAAAAATGTTGTAACTTTAAACAGTTACTAAATGATCTGTTGTAAGTCAAGGACCATCTGTAACAAGATATCCAAAATGACATGTGTAACAATTGCTTCTACAATGAGAAAAGCTAAATGAAAATTACATTATTTTTGAAGGTAAGTAACAGCAACTATAATGTATAGGTTTATAAAATCTGGGCTGCAAAAATCCCACCACTATATAGGGATAAAATGATACAGAAGACTAACTTTTTGCTCCTATCTAGTTTTCTGGATTTCTGCAGCCAGTTCTATCATGCATAGTATCTCTCAATTTATTTACACAATTCCAAAAGGAAAGTAAAAGAATTAATTTTTATTTCTTTTTTTCAGTCCTGAAATGCCTGAAAATGAAGCCACATTTGCAATAACTGCTGGAGGAATAGGAGATGCCAAAGAGTAGGCTTATCTTAGTGATAAACAACTGAGAAACTCCCATCAAATTATATCAAATGTTATTTAGTTCCTAGTTACTTCTGTTTATATTCCAAATTTAGAAAAGTTAAAATTGAGAGGTAGAAATGATTGCTGGAAATGTTCTTATCTTTTGATATTGCTGAGCACATCTGCATTGTTCATAGGACAAGTCAATCATGTGTAATCATCCTTTTCATAACAGCACTAATTTTGTGCAGGATATTTCTAGGAGTTAGAATACTAATGCACTGCAGTTTCAAAAATCTGAAAAAAGTCTAGAGATCAAAAGAATCATTTTTTAATTTAAAACATCTCAAAATGCTTTACGAATCCTTAAACATTTTAAGGCCTTTTAGTGTACTAATTTTAGCTTTAACATATAGAATTACCGTAACTGAAAGTAATTTAAAAAAATATAAATTTGGCAACTCTCTAGATAAGGAGTTTCTAGGTAAAGTAGGCTGGAATTAAAATTGGAAATTGGTTTTACACAAGGAATATTCATTATTTGCAAAGTTTAAATATTTGTTTAATTGTAATTAAAATACCTGTACATGTACTTCATGTAAAATCAAACAATTGCCCCTCTTTTTTTCTTTGAAAGCAAATGATACTGTCTATTCCATCTATGGATGTGTAAAATAAGTTTCACAAATCTAAGTAAATATCTTATAGCATATTCTTTTCCTGTTTTCTGTTAAAGCAATATTCATAAGTCGATGTGTTTTTCTTGAATACCGTCACTCATCAGAAAATAACACTGAACATTCTGAACATAAGTGGGAGTACTGGAAATGCATAACCCTCCGGAATAGGTTATTTCTCTTTTTAGATTCAAACTAGCTGCTAACCCAGCATTGCCAGGTATTTATTTATAGGGAGAAAATGTCTGGACCAAACGTAACTTCTAATGTTGGATTTTCCCCCTTACTGGAGGGAACCCCCTTGTGGAGTACTGTGAAGCCGTTACCATGGCAACTCCACTGCGCTGTACAGTAGAAGCCATTTTAAGGCACTACAGGCTGAATCTTAACAGAATATATACACTGAAAGTTTTAGAAGTGTCTTACCCCCACAAAATTGTTTCCAGAGGATAAGTACCAAGTTGCTTGAGGCGTTCCTGTCAAACGTTTTAGTCCGTAACAGTCACTGTCTTCGCATGTCCATACTGGCTAGACCAATGGCCAGTTGTACATACTGAGAAGGTATCGGTTTTCCTCCCCATCCCCAACCTCTTTTCACAGAGCATAAGTGAAAAACCACCCTTCTGCTTAAAAAAAAATCCTGCTTATGTACTACCGTGTAATTGATAGGAAAGTCCATAGAGTGTGGCTACCATGGGATTCTGTGGCATTCCTATCTCACACCCTATTGTTAAGAAAAAAAGTTTCCAGGAAGATAAAGCCAGCATAAACTGCCAAGATAGGGTGTCAGCTCAGGGCATGAGAAATGAAAGGACTTCTGGAACAAGACGGTTAGATGTCCCAGGGCTCAGTCCTCTTGTAGTAGAATGGCAACCACAATCAATCTATGTATCGTTCTAACAATAGCTTTCAGCTAGGAAAGTAAGCTGAACTGTAGGAAACAATTGTTTCTTTATTTTGAAACAAGGGGGTTAGTTATTGGGAAAACAATTCTACGTTATAGATATTGGAACTATTTGTCTTATAAACATCACGCCTTTTCGTTCAATGCAGCTGATAAGAATGATTACTCCGCATATTGCAGAGTACACGTAACTCGCCAATTTCTACGCAAAACGGGCAGCTAGTTTTTCTACTCAAAATGTGGCGCTGAAGTAGGCGACGGCGACGGAAACGCTACGGACTCGCACTTCCGCATTTCACTGCTTTTAAGATTGCTAGCACTAAAATTTGGCGTAAATGTGTTTCGAGAATACATTAAAAATGGCTCTTCGCGTAGAGTTCTTAGATAGCTTACGGCGCAACCTAGTGAAATCTTCTTAAATCGCTCCTTTGAAGCGTGATCAGCGTACGCGATCACTGCTGGAGAATAAGCGTAGAGAAAGGCTTTCTCTTTCCTCGTTAATTCAAGGGACGTATCTTACGCAACAAACGGGCTGGCCGACAGCGTAAGAGGCGGCAAACCGGGGTGACGGCGGCCATTTTGTGTCTGGAGGCCGGAGAAGAAAGACTGGTTTTCTTTTTAACCAGCGCCAAGCAGTTCCTGACGCGACTCGGCTCTCGGAGGCTCCAGAAAACCAATTCCAACGGCTGTTTAGCTAGGAAAATTAAGTCCCGGGAGTTGTTTTTATAGCCACAAAGCAGCACCAAAGTTCAGAGTAGGCGCGGTTGGGCCTCTCAGCGCTACTTTTCACATAGTCGCGCACAAGGGTCCCTTTTCCTGCTTGAGAGAATGCGAGGCTTCGGTGACCGAGGCCGCGATCGTGACCGCGGCGGGTAAGGACGATGTGACTGAGGGAATCGGGCTTCTTTCAAGGGTTTTGTCGTATCTCTGCCCTCCCTCCCCTCCTCTCCCCTCGCCCCTTGAGGGTTCCTCCTGCTGCGTGGCAGGCAGAAATACTTCGGATACGGCCAGCATTGCCCGAGGGCTGATCGTGCTAAATTTTCTGCCTTTCTCGTAGTGATTCAAGCGTTGAAGGACATCGAGAAGAGGGGTGGGGTTCTGCCATTTTGTAGAAATGTACAAAACGGTCTAAGTTGGGAGCAAGTTCCTCGGAACTCGCCGGGGGCTCCTTCATTAATCAGCACAATACTAGGCTGCGCGGAGAGAGCAGATGTAATGGATGAAGGCTGCCACTTTGTTAAGTTTGGCCTTTTTTTGGGTCGTGTGGAAAAGAGCACTTTAACAAAGCGACCTTTTCTCTCGTAAGGGGGGGGGGAGAGGCTCACTCTCCGGATTGCTTTTCTTTCTCCCTCCGCGTATTTCTAAGCTTTGCCAGAGAATTTTATGCGGGTGACTGAAAGATGGCGTCACAATATGGAGGTAAATGTTTGACTGGGAGGTGCCAGATGAACGTCGGCCTAGGAAGAGACACGTAGATGGAGGAAAGCTTTGGAAGGACTAGGCGCCTCCCGGACAGATGTTTTTAAATATTTTCTGTCCTTTGAGCAGAGGGCTTCCATGCCGTTACATACACCAATTGACTCACCAGGGACTCTAACCCTCAAATGCTACATGGTCACTTATCCTCTGATCTAGCATGCCCTGTTTTTCTTTATCTCCTGGTGAAGTAGGTCTAATATAATCATTGCTAACCCCCGAAATCCGAGGGCTGCGTTGGAATAATCTAAAAATAAAACGAAATATTCTAATCGGATTTTTCTTTGCTTCTGTCTATATTCTTGTCAAGTTTGTAAGGATGGTCTTATACTGCCTACTTACAAAATGTATCTGCTGCTCTAGTTGAAGAGTGGAAGCTTACAAAATCATAAAAATGCAATACAATGGTTATAATCAAAATCTGCACTCATTTAAATCCAGATGGAAAATCAGCACCCAACATTGGGAACTCTTGGCTGAAAAACTCCGTTTCTACAACCCCCTTAAAAGTGCATTCTCACTGTATTTTACCTCAGTTCTGATAAAATAAGTTAAACTTCCAAGTAAACATATTTTGGATAGGTCTTTAATTAGGAGGAAGTTATGAATCATTGATATTTTACTGGGCAGTCCCACGGATTAGTTCCATACAATGTGAGAAGCTACATTAATTATTTTGAGAGATGTTTATTGTAGCAGGGGATTCTGAGGGAGCTGTAGTACCATTATTGCAGTTGTCCAATTTTAACATAAAGCTTTAAATATGGGATATGTTTATTGATAATAGTGTGACTGATAATTAAAGTTAATCTACTGAATGAAAGTGCTCTACTAAAGCAATCCTATTTATATTTATGCAGAAATCATTAATTGCATACGTTAGTGCTTGCACAAAGTGTTCTTTCACTGTAACTCACAAGAGTAGGAGTCAAACTGCTTATTAATTATTACATGGTGTAATCTATTCTTAAGATAAAGAGAATTGTTAGCACCTTAACCGTCAAGGGTCAAACTAGTTGGGAACAAATCTCTCCTGTCTTCAAATGAAGAACCGGAAAATTCTGATACTTTCCTGAAGTACAGAAGGGTGGAGCACTACAGTAATTTTTGAGAAGTATGTTACTACTGTATTTTACAAATGCAAGTTTAACTGTGCATTAATATATACTTCTCACTGTATTTAGCAATATATGGGAACAAACCTCACGGTCAGTTTCCTAGGTAAATCAGATAGGAAACAACTAGATGAGCTAAATCTATCTTAAGGCTACATTAACAGAATCTTGCAAGTTTGAAAGTACAAAACTTCCCTGCTGTCACTTTAACTGCTTGATCTATTAATGACAGATACTTTCTAAGTTTCTTTCTCTCTTAATTGTTAAACTACTGGGAGCTCCTGCCTTTCTTGTCTGATTGTTTCCTAGGCAGCATCTCTTCCCCCATTCCTTAAGGTCATTTCCATATTCCAGTATGCTTATTGAAGATAGTGGATTTTGTATTGGTTAAAATGCTTGGTTTCCTGCACTTAGTTTCTACTTCACTTTATTGATGTTAGTGTTGCAATGAAAACTCTATTCTGATGTATTTTTTCAGTAATTTGTTACTTAAAGTAGAAAGAATATTTTTCTTCTATATTTTTATGTAAAACTTGCCCTGTTTTGTCATTTCCATTGGGGAATGTTATGGAACTACATATACATAATGCATTTCTACATATTTTCGTGTTCAAATATGTTATTTTGTTGCCAAAGATCAAATACAAAACAAAGAAAAGTAAAAAAGAAAAATAGATTAACAAATGTTCAACAGTAATAACTTAAAGAGGAAACCTTTGTGTACAAAGAAAGAAAAAAAGTCCAAATAAATCTAACATTAAAAATAAATCAACCCTGGCTTGAGTGCTGAAAGCTACATCAAAAATGTAATATATTTCTTCCACACATAACTGGTCTACAAAAAGTCATAAATTTATCCATCTGTATTTAACAGAAATGCTATATCATATAAATACATAAATAAATATTCCCAGTGTGGAAAACTATCATAATTAAATGGACCCAATATATGTATGTATACACAGAGACATAAAAACAGATTACTCCAAAGTTAAAACTAATTTTCAAATCCATGTGTCATTTTATTTAACATGTAGAAAATCTACAAACGACTTCCTGTCTCTTATAAACTTGTTTAATCCTTTGTCTTAATATTACTTTCCAAAACACTTTGTGATACTTTTTGTTAGTTTACTGTATATAAATTTTATTAAATCCAGACTTGGTTATGCATATTCAGTGAAATGAATATCATTTTTCATCCATGAGTGATTTTTCCCCATTCCTTTCAGAGCATCTAAATTAAGCATGGCTTAATTCAGATCTGCCATATTATATAGAATAAACATTTATTACCATTGCTATTGATGTTTTTCAACATAAATTTAATAACATGTTTAATCTTCATAAAATAATGCTATTTCAGGTCAATCAGCTAGAGAAAATAATCATTTCTGTCTAATCCATTAAGGTTTGGTAGCCCTCTGCCTCCTAAAAAATTTGGAAATCCAGGAGAGCGTTTGCGAAAGAAGAAGTGGGACTTGAATGAATTACCCAAATTTGAGAAAAACTTTTATGTTGAGCATCCGGAAGTAGCAAG